GCATTATTTGTTTCAGAAGTACAGATCTGTGATTCAACAGTCTTGCACAATTCACAGCGCTCACCATAGCACATACCCTACCCAATGTCTGTCACCCAGCCACCCCATCCCTCCCACCCCCCACCACTCCAGCAACCCTCAGTTTGTTTCCTGAGATTAAGAATTCCTCATATCAGTGAGGTCATATGATACATGTCTTTCTCTGATTGACTTATTTCACTCAGCATAACACCCTCCAGTTCCATCCACGTCATTGCAAATGGCAAGATCTCATTCCTTTTGATGGCTGCATAATATTCCATTGTGTATATATACCACATTCATTTGTGAAGAATATTCTTGCTGGGTGCAGAATTCTACCTTGGCAGTTCTTTCCATACTTCAAAGATAATACTCCTTTGTCTTCTGGATTCCATTGTTTCTTGTGAGAAGTCAGCTGTCAGTCTGTTGCTCCTGAGGTAATGGATCTTTTCTCCTCTGGCTGCTTTGCTTCGGTATTGCACAGTTTTACTACGGTGTTCCTAGGTGTCAGTTTTTTTTTTTTTTTTTTTAATCCTGCTCAAAATTTGTAGGACTTCTTCAGTTTGTCACCGTTTGTTTTTCATCAGTTTTGCAAAGTTCTTGGCTGTTAGCTCTTCAGATACTGCTTCTGCCCCTTCTGTCTCCTCTCCAGGCCATCCTGCTCTATCTGCTGGGCCTCCTAACCTCTCTGTCATTTCATCTTTTCATCTCTCAATGCTTCATTCTGGGAAATTTCTTCCCAGAAATACATTCAAAGACTGATCCACTGGCTTCTCAATTCCCATCATTGTATTTTTCAGTCCTAGGTTATGCATTTGATTCGGTTCTTTTTTATAGTTTCTGGTTCTCTAAAAAGTTCTCAATATTGTCTTCGGTCATCTTGAGCACGGTAAGCATAGTTATTTTATTATCTCATAGTTATTTTATTATCAATATCTGGATTTCTGCGGGTCTGTTTATTTTATGTTTTGCTGTTTCTAATTCTTGTTATCTTGGTTCCTTATGTGTCTGGTTAGTTTTTATTTTGCTCCCAACATTATATTGGCAAAATTGTTTATAGAAATAACTGGAGACCCAAGTTTATGTAATCTTTCTCCAGTAAAGATTGACTTTTGCTCCTTTTAAGCAGCTAAGAGCTCTAGTATTTCAGATCAGCTGCTCCAATTTCAAGTCCCTGTGAGAGACTGCCTCCTTCTGACTCACCCTCATTGCTAGTGGCTGCCTTTTTGGATCCCAGCCCAAAGTGCAAGGGGTTTACCCATGACCTCCTTTTCAGGCCCTACTCTCTGATCTCTTGCCCACTAGCCCTATGAGGCTATCACAACCTCTACTTAGATCCCATCCACTTCCTCTGGAGTTGGTAAATTAGGCCTCAAACCTGGCAACTTGCATGGCATCCTCCACCTCCTAGATTCTGGTCCCATAATTTAATTCTCTGCTGTCTTTAAGCAGGTGTTTTTTGTATATTTTAATTGCCTATCTCACATGTCCCCAGCATGGGTGTTGGTTTAAATTACCTAATTTGTCATTACTAACATGGAAGCCCTAATATCCAGTTTTCATAAATTAGGTTATTAGGTCCAGAGAGACTTTATCATAGCTAGTTAAGATCAGAAACGATGAATACCCGAGTATCCTGATTCTGTGTGATTTTTATTCTGTTACACCACTGCCAAAGTATACAGATAGATCTAGCAGCATTTTGATATTTGCTGTGCTCAGTGACACTTCTTTCAGTTTATTTGTCAAGCAGTAAAGGTCCCGTATCCCAGGAAACTTGCAGAAAATCCTCAAGTAAATAATACCCCCTCCCTGCCTTTCCCATCCCATTAAGTTTGTTTTAAATTTATTTAAACTTTTAAAAAGCGAGCCACAATCTCCCCATATAAATCTTCCCTTTGAAAACCATTAGAGATTCATGAACATGTGGTCACCTATCACTATTTTCTAAAGTAAGATTCTGCTTGTACTTTGTAATAATATCAAATCTCTGCTTAATACCTAAGCCAGGGATTGGTGTTCCAGAATAGGGAAGAAGTATCATTTGTCTCAATTCATAACAAATCACCCTAAAATGTAGTGCCTAGAACAACAGCAATTTATTGTGTCTCATGATTTGGCGGGTTGACTAGCCAGTTTGTCTGGTCTCACTGGGGCTCACCAAGTCTAAATGGTCTAAAATGGCTCCCCAAATGCCATGGCTGAATGACTGGATAACTTGGCCTCTTTCTTCATATAGTTTTTAGTCCTGGGTTTCTTCACGTGATGGAAGAAGTATTCCAAAAGTTCAAAGCGCCTCAAGGCTGAGTGTCCACGAGTAACCCAGTATCACTTCTGCCATATTCTTTTGGTTAAGACAAGTCACAGGGCCAGCCCAGATCCCAGGAGTAGGATGGAAAATTCACCTCTTATTGGGAAGTGCAGCGAAATATTGTGGTCCTGTCTTTAAAAGCTGCCACAGTGTGATGAAAAAAGGCAGGTGTCGTAGGCAGAGTAGTGGCCTCTGCATTTCAACACTGGTTCTCAGACACTGATGGACGGAGTGTTCTACAATTCAGTTCAGTTCTACCACTACCTGGAACAGCCCGATGAAGAGTTGCACACAGTGACAAGGTCTGGGAGGTCTGGACATCCAGAGAGCAAGAGCTTCTCCTCATGGAGACGGGTTACATCACCCTCCCCATACATTGACATGTTCACCAACCAAAAAGCTCCTTGGAGCCTCGGTGTCTGAGTGTTTTTTTGAATGAGGGTTTTTTTAAATAAGGGTTTTATTACATAAGCATGATTGAGTAAATCATTAGCCCGTGACTGGACTCAACCTCCAGCCTTCCCTCTGTGGAGGTCAGGTTGCTGAAAGTCCCTTCTCTAATCCTATGGAGGATTTTTGTGATGCCCACCCCCCATCCTAAAGCTATCTGGGAACTGGGCAGGAGTTACCTCATTAGCATAACAAAGACACTCCTACTACTGAGGAAATTCCCAAAGTTTTAGAAGTTCTATGCTAGGACCTGCGACAAAGTCCAGAGAGAAAGACAGGGAGAGAGATGGAGATATTATTATTATTATTATTATTATTATTATACCACAGCCTCCCAAGGTTACCCATGCCCTAATCCCCAGAACTTGTAAACATGTTACGTTGAATGGCAAGGTAGAATGAAGGTTGCAGGTGGAGTTAAGATTGCTGGTTCTGAACTTAAAGAGATTATCCTGCATTGTCCAGGTAGGATCTTTGTAAATTTAAGAGTCCTTCAAAGGAAAAGAGGAATGCAGAAGAGTCAGAACCAGGGAGATAGTATCATTTGAAAGACTTAATAGGCCATTACTGGCTTTCAAGATGGAAGGAGACCACAGGCTAAAGAATGTGGGCAGCCTCTAGAAGCTGGAAAAGATAGCAAAGTAGATTCTCTCTAAGAGTCTCTAGAAGATCAGAGCCTGGATTTTTAGCCCAGTGAGGCCCATCTCAGACTGCTGACCTCCAGAGTTCTATGAGAATAAATTTGTGTTGGTTTAAGGCACTAAACCTGTGGTGTTGTAGAAAACTGACCTCCGTGCTTCGGAGCCAAAGTATAAGGCAAAAGACAGAGTTTGAGATAAAGAGGAACGAGAGGTTTCTTGCTTTGCAGGGCAAAGGAGGCTGCACAGGCCATGGCCTTCAGAAACTGCAAACCCTACAGGAGGAAGGGGCTGGGGTGGTTTATAGGGAAATAACAGGACCTAGCCGGGTTTGACAGGAATTGTGTAGGTGCTACCAGCCTCCTTCATCATGCCTTTAGGGTGGTACCGGGTTCCTGAAACAAAAGGCTAAGAAGGGAGGAGAGGAGCTTTGCGAAAGAGAGGAAAAAGGTTACTTTAAAATTGAGCGTCGCTGAAGCATTAGTGCAGCCATTTTTATTTTTGTTCAACATTGTGCTTTTAGGTGGTTTCGGTGGTAATCTGCTGTGGCAGCAATAGGAAATGAACATAGCAGGGCCTTGAAAAAGGGGAAAAAGTGGCATTTTTTTCACCAAGGAATGCAGCATGATAAGTCTGTCCTTGGAGCTTCCTGTGTAGATGCTGAAAACTCACTGTTCAGAATACAAATAACTTCACATTCTTCAATCTCTCTTCTTAAATTATTGACTACTTCCTTTTACCTCTAGCCCTCAGTAGAGCTCAAAATCGCCTATCTACAGAGGACTCTATCTCTTAAAGTGCATCTGTGTGTGTGTGATAGGTTATAGATCAGAGAAGGGAAAGTAACTCTTTGGTAAGTAGGATACATTTGACCTTGATTCATCCAGTGAGAATTTGTTACCTTCAGCAAACCAGGATCAGTCTTACACCGGCACAGTTTTATACTTAAAAGGAGTTATGATCTAATGCATGGTAGAAACCTTAATTGGCCCAGAGGGAGAGATTTCTTGGTAGACTCTTTCTTAGAGTCAGTGACACCTACAGGAGGTTTTGTAACTTCTCTACTTATAAGTTTCAATCTCTTTTTCAAAAGCACAAACTAACGTGATGATGGTGAGGATGACGACGATGATGATGGATGGCAGCCATGATGCTTACAGAGCACCTACTGTGTGCCAGAGCTGGGCTTACATTTTATGTTCTTCATTGCAGTTCATCTTTTTCATGGCTCCTGCCTCTTTCTATTAAATTACTCTTTCTGTTCTTTTTTAACCAACTTTCCATAAATACACATAAACTCAATGTTTACACATCTCAATTATTTACTCCTTAGTTTTTATCCCCTTTCTGCAGTTCCTGATGAATTCCTAAAATATAATAAAACAAAATTTTAACTAGATGCACAAGAACTCCCAATCTTGAAGGGGAAGGAAGAATAACTACTTTATTCACAAGTATATGTCTGAGAAATTAGAGGCACTAAGCTTAATTTGACACAATTAACACTAATTACATGTTAGAGTCCTTAGTTTGGGATTTTTCTCCAGTGAAACTTACCATTTGCTGATTTATTTCTTTAGGAGCCGTATTATGTACGTTGCATCAAACCCAATGACAAGAAATCCCCACAGATATTTGATGATGAGCGCTGTCGGCACCAAGTGGAATATCTTGGACTACTGGAAAACGTGAGGGTGCGGCGGGCGGGGTTTGCCTTCCGCCAGACATACGAGAAGTTTCTTCACAGGTGAGAATAAAGAGCCCTGACAGACATCGACAAATCTGGGGTCCTCCCCATGTAGGACAGTGTATCAGCACAGATTAAATACTCTCAATATTTGTCAAATGAGTAAGAGTCAAGAGAACTGCAAATATGAAAAACTTTCTCATTCAGCTCAAGAGTCTCCCTGAGTTTATGGTTTATAGACCATGAGGAAAGATTCATTCTGTGGGGGGAAAATATGGGTGTTGTAGTTTGGTAGAAAGAACCTAGATTCAGAGTCACATCTGGCTTGGAATCCTGGGTATGCCACTTATTTGCTGTGTGATCTTGGGCTAGACATTTAACGTCTTTGACTTTGTTTCTCCCTCTGTAAAATGAGTTTAATAATACTACCTGTAAGGCTGCTGTTGTGAGGATTAAGTTAACCTAAGTAAAAAAAACTAGGTGCCTGATGCATAATAGATGTTCAGTTAATGCTGTCCTTACCGATATTAGTAATTACCATAATAACAAAATATTAAGCAGTTAATCATGGAGACCGTGTAATTAGTCTACCTGGTTTGAATCCTGGCTTTGCCATTTCTTGGCTTTTTGACCATGGGCAAATTACATTATCTTTCCATGCCTCTGTTTCCTCATGTGTTAAAAAGGGGGTTAGTAATAATAACTACTTTTTAGGGTTGCTGGAGAATTAAATGAGATTGTGTGTGTGTGTATATAAAGCCGTTAGAATGGAACCTGGCATATAGCAGTCGTTCAATATATGTAAGATATCATTGCTCCTGTTATTTATTGTTAGTAATAATAATGATAGTTGACAACTGGGACTCATAAAGTCCCTTTAAATTCCATCTGTTCATTTATCTAAAAATATTTATTGAACATTTCCTGTGTTCTAGACTACAGATTCCACAGAATGTGAATAAGTAGATAAAATATTGGGTGCTCAGAAGAGTCTCTAAGGAGATAATAATGGCAGGAACGAGCCAGCCACGTGAACATCAGAGGGAACAGCAGGTAGGGCAGAGGGAACAGTGAGGGAGAGGCTCAGCTGTTGGTAGTGAGTGTGGTGTGTTAGGTAGCAAGCGTAGCTGTGTGGCTGGAGGCTGCTCAGTGACAGGGCAGGGGTGTGAGATGAGATCAGAGAGGTGGACAGGGGCCAGATCATGTCGAGTTTTATAATCCAGACTAAACAGTTTAGATTTTGACTAAATCTGGCAGGAACCCATTGGTGGATTTTAAGCAGGGAGCAACCTAATCTTATGGCTGTTTGAGGAGATACTGTGGCTGCTGTGTGGATAGGAAGCAAGGAGACATTTAGGGATGTTACTGTGGGAACCGGGGAGAGAGGGGGCTTGTTCGTCCCTTGAACAAGAGATGATTGTAGATGCAAGGGTAGTGGACAGATTTGGGATGTTTTAGGGGAAGGTTGACCAGGCTTGCTCATGGATTGGCTAGATAAGAGAGGAAGAGAGAGAGGAGTGAAGGATCACAATTAGATTTCGGCATGGGTAAGCATATACCATTTGCTGAGATAAGATTGGGTAAGGGAAACTTGAGGAAGGGGTCATGGAACAGGGGCAAGGATGGACTCAAGGTTTGTCTCTTGACGTTTAGGTTTGAAATGGCTACTGAAAATCTAGGTAGAAATATTAAATGAGCTATTAAATACACATATCAGGAGTTCCAGAAAGAAGTGCAGGTTGGAGATAGAGATGCTGGAGTCATTAGTCTAGAGATGACGTATAAAGTCTCAGAACTGGGTAGAGATGAGAAGGAGGCCCATTCAAACACTTAGGTTTGTGATCTGACATGAAGGAGCCACCAAAGAGAAGAAAAGGAGCCACCAATGAGATAGAAGAGATACCAGAAAAGGGTTATGTCACAGAAGCCAAGAGAAGACATAATTTCAAGAAGAAAAGTGTAGTTACCATATCGCACATTGCTGTGCAGTCAAGTTGTCAAGTAAGAAAAAGGTAGAAGCTTCAGCATTAGATCTGGCAACATAGCAGCCAAGGGAGAAAAGGCTGGGCAGAGCCTGATTTGAACAGGTTGGAAAGTGAAGTGAGAAGCTGGACATCTGTAGACAACTCAAGAATGTGTGCTGTGAATGAGGGCAGGGAAGAATGTGGGATGTGAGGTCAGGAGACACTAGGAAACGGACGCAGGTGGGGCTGATTCAGAACAGAGGGAGAACCCAGAGGCGCAGGACCAAGGGAGGTCATTGTCATCATCATAACATCCTTGAGAAGGCAAGGCTCAGAATCCCACGCACAAGTGGAAGGTTTGTCAGCGTTAGGTAGGAGTAGGGATACTTGCCCCATAGCAACAGGACAAAAGGCAGAGAATACGAATACAGATGCAGAAAGGCTTAAAGGTCTGCAGATGGCAAAGATAATGTTCCAATCTGATTGCTTCTGTTTCCTTAACCAAGCATGAGGTGAGGCCAAGAGTGGGGGAGTGGAGATAAGGAGAGGTGGTGTGGAGGTTTGAGGGGAAGTGGGAATACTCATTTTGGAGAGTGGGAAAGCACAGATTTGTATGGTAGGATTGCTGTCCGGAAGGCTCGAGTGTCCGTGTGAGATCTGAGGTTATCAATGGACAGCGAGGCCACCAGCATTATTGGTTTTCTCCACCAGTGTTCAGCTACTTTTGCACAGAAGTGAAAGGGATTGCACTAAATGGAGACTTAGAATGAATAAAGCACAGTAGCCTGGAAAATTCAAACTTCATTTTACACTGATCAAAAGGTTATGCTCAAAACCGACCATTTTCCTTATTGAAATCACACTGTCCTTTAGATTTGGTTTTTCATTTGCTTATTGAGGCTGTAGAGTTGGAATGTTTTCATGAGTAGAGATGTGTGCATTCTGAGTCTTGATTTCAAACAGTGTCAAATTATGTTAGAAAGATTGCTAGTCTGTTGTTATTACGCTTAGAATTCTAGCAATTGCTCAGTCACAGAATTTGGTTTTTTGTTATCACCCATAAAAAATCAGCAGACGTTAAATATTGGCCTGAGCAGGGTGGGACTGGGTAACTATAGGATGGGGCTGAACCGAAAATATTTTATCATGAGACAAAGGGAAGCCGTGGTGAGTAGCTAAGGTAAGGGAACAGTAAACAAGCCTGACTTGGAGGAGACAAGGAGTTTTGCAAGTACATCCATATCTTTTACGTTCAACTCAGGAGGTTTTGGTTGTGTTTGTTTCTTGGCATGGGAGACATGCTATAAGGATTGGAATATGTTTTCTAATACACATATAAAAATACACTAGAAAAGATTCAAAAGAACCTGTGAATTTCAAATATGGTGGTCTTAGTGGCATAAGGTTAAGTCCATTTCTACTTCCAAGAACATCCCCAAATAATGTAAATTATATATCTTTAAAACCAAGAAAATGCACAGCCACACTATGGAATCAAGAAGGGGTTTGAGTCTCAGTGAACCTTGGAAATGTGACTCCCTCCTAAATACGAAGTGAAGCAATTGTGAAGACCCAGGTGTTAGCCAAGGTCGCAGTTTTAAGGAAAGACTGCCTCTGCCATTCAGGAAACCATCCTGAATGTACTGTTTCTGTGGAGTTGGCTACAGCTGCAGCACCAGGAGGTGGCCCCAATGGCTAGGACAAGGGACACCTCAGTAGCTGCAAGGGGGACATCATAGGCATGATGGCTGACACCCATGAAGCCAAACTCACCACGTTAGAAGAGGCCAACCAAGGCCAAGATGTACACAGAAGGACTCTGTGGAAGTAGACAGGATAACAGTGAAACATCCGAGAGAGACCACACCATGAAGAAGAGACAGTAAGCCCAACAGATGCCAAACCTTACCCCCTGAGGAACCAGAGCAAGGAGTAAATGGCATTGGAACTAGCCTGTTTAATATTTTCAGAGAGATGAAGGAGATAATTATGGTCCTAGGATAGGAATATGAAGTCAGAAACAAGAACAGGTAATTACTGGGAAAAATAGAGATTTGGAAAATGAAAATCAGATTAAACACAACTGAAGAGAGCTTTGTCCATCAGCAGGAGAATAAGTCAGCAATGTGTCACGTAATCACACAGTGGCTGCTACCCAGCGTTAAAGGGAATGAATGGCTGATACAGCAACATGAATGAATAGCACATTATGTCAACAAAGGATAGTCACCAAAGAATACATCCTGTATGCTGCCACTTACATGAAGTTCAAGAACAGATAGAAATCAGAACCATGGTCAGTTCTGGAGCGGGGGAACTGATGGGAAGGGAGAAGGGGGCACTCTCTGAGATGATGGAGATGTTCTGCGTCTTGATGGGGTGTCAGTTTCATGAGTGTATACATTTTTCAAAATTTGTTAAACTGTATACCTAAATGTGTGCATTTTATTGTGTGTAATTTTTACCACAATTAAAAAAAATTAAACCTCTTTTAAAAAGCACATTAGTAAACTGGAAGATCAAGTTGAAGAGTTCTTGCAGATTTCATCACAAAGAAAAAGAGAGATGGGAGATACTAGAGCTCAGGCAGTATGTAAGGTCAATCCAGGAGTGCCAACAGCTGTTCAGCAGGAGCGCCCGAAGGAAAGGAGAGAGAGCAGAGGGGAGAAGCAGTACTTGAACAAATAGTGGCCAGGAATTTTCCTGAACTGAAAAAAGACAGAAATCTTCAGATTGAAAGAATACACAGAGTGGAAAGCATGTGAATTTTTTAAAAATGAAATTAAGTACATTATGTTCACTTTTAGAATGTTAGCGATAAAGGAAAATACTTAGAGCTCCCAAGAAAAGACAAAGTACTACCAGGGAATGAGAATCATACAGACATCAGACTTCTCATTAGCAACATTTGATGCAAATAGACAAAGCAGCAATATCTTTTCAGTGAGAGGGGATGAACTTTATACTTAGAACTTTACTCCATGCCAGGCCGCCTGGGTGGCTTAGTCAGTTGAACGGCCGGCTCTTGATTTTGGCTTAGGTCATGATCTTGGGGTCCTGGGATGGAGCCCTGCATCAGTCTCCATGCTCAGCAGG